CACATTGATTGATCTTGTCAAAACGATGTTTGTTTGTATCTGACGTATCTGTGGCCACTTGCCGCACTGTGCTTTGTCATCTACTCCACGTGTTATCGATCAGCTCACCGTTTCATACGCGCATACACTCATAGGTAATCGATAATTCCGCCTCGTCTGATTGGCGGCAGACGATTGATTACTCTTCCACGGCCCGGCAGGCAAGGCTTGACTGCAGCAAACACACAACTTCGCAGACACAGCTGCAGAGTAGACGAATTGGCGGTTGGCGCACTACACAGCCTCTGTACTGCCAATTTTCTGGCAGTAAATTTTTGTCCACCAACACCGTCTTCCTTGACTTGTGATTTGGGGGAACTTTCTGTTTGTCGACACTACTAGCTGCGACAAGTCGTCTGACCTACCCATCTTCAGAAAATGAGTACTCCGCGGGTCATGGTCCTCGTTGTATGCCGCTCTTTTTCCATGTACGTATTTTGCCACTCATGACTGAGCCGCAGTGTGTGCCTCGCATCTCGCTGTCGTTTGCATCGGTCTCCTCGCTGACCATGTCTGTCATCGTGACGCTAGTGATTGTTTCATCCCCACGTGCACTGGTCATCTGTTGTGTTGCGTTAGCCCCCGTCTCACCCTGGCTTGTTTCACGCACATACATGCTGGCCGTAGAGCTAGTTGGCGGTCCGATTGTTCTGGGATTGGCAGAATACGCACAGGAAAAACAGAGCGGCATATAAAGAGAAACACGAGCCGGAGTATTCATGCTCTGAAGATGTATAAACGAAACAACTACCCGAAACGCAGATACAAAATAAACCTCTCCCGGTGAACGCTCTTCCTGCTTTTGACTTAGTACCTGATAATGGCATTTTCACTACTGTTACTATTCTAATTCCTTGTTATTTTAAGTCCAATCGTTCTAGAAGTATTTAGACGTAAAATGATCCCTATGTTCTAAGCTGCGCTCACAACTTGTGCAAAATTGATCGCGCGAGTCATTCAGCAGCTTTCAACCACCGCATACGTCGGGGAATGTTCCTACACAACATATCGAACAAAGTCAACGTTTGACACTAAGTGGGCCTTTGGAATTCCGAGGGACCGATGACAAATGGATACCGCGATAGAAGACTTT